AGTGTCAGGAACTTACACTCCTCTAGGAAGCAGCTCTTTCCTTACCTTTAACATATTTCTATTTATTCTGTAGTAATACATGTTGATTATATGTGTTTTTCTATAAATGATAAGACCTTAATATAATGTATTTTATTTATTTATTATTTTTTGTTTTGTTTTTTGGTACCAGGGATCGAACTCGGGTCCTTGCGCTTGTGAGGCAGGTGGTGGAACCACTGAGCTAAGTCCTCAGCCCCTATTTTGCTTTTTAATTCTTGTTGTTGTGCATTATTTGTCTTTGTTTGTATGTTTGTTTATTGGACCTGCTAGAGGTCTACCTAATTTATTAGATTTTCAAAAACCCAAGTCACAGCATTATTTTCTACTTTCTTACTTTTTTCTGATTTATTAGATTCTCTTTTTTATCTTCATTGATTCTTTCTGTCTCTTTTCCTTTGCTTTCTATTGTTTTTCTTTTTCCTAATATCTTGAGCTGGGTCTCAACTGATCGACTCTTACCCTATTTTATTTGTTGAATTCCTAACATTGGTGCATGAAATCCCTCCTCTGACATCTTTTTTTTGTTGTTTTCTTTTTTGGTATCAGGGATCGAACTTGGGTCCTTGCACTTGGGCAGCAGATGGTACGAAACCACTGAGCTAAATCCCCGGCCCTTCCTCTAACATTTTAACCACTTTCTCATATGTTCAGATATGTGGTATTTGTAGCATTTTTTCTTTTACATAGTTTGTCATGTAGGTTTTATTTAAAGTTATTTACTAAAGTGGCCTTTAATTTTCAAATGGTTGGCTTTTTAATTTAAACTTTTGTTAATACTTAGCAGCTTCATTGCCCTGCAGTCAAAGAATGAAGCTCTTGCTATATCTGCTTTGAAGATTCTATTGAATTTTTTCTTTATAGTCTAATATATGATCAATTTTCATAAATGTTTGATGGGCTCTGGCAAAGAAGTGAGTATTTTTTATTTGTAAGGTACAAACTTCAATTATTAAATCAACGTTACTGTGTTCCATCCTAATAAATGTGGGTCAGGCCTACTGTTCAAACATGTCAGAGAGAGAGCAGGTCACAGACTCCTCTTCCTACTGGGGTCTTGACTTGAATTTGCCTCATATTAACATATTAACTTGAATTAACTCATATTAACCCCAACCTTCTATATATTTATTCATTCATTCATTTATTTTTGAGTCAGGGTCTTGCTATGTAGTTCAGGCTGATCTTGAACTCACTATGTAGCCCAGACTGGCCTCAAATTCACAGCAATCCTCCTGCCTCAGCCTCCGGAGTGCTGGGATGACCGGTGTGAGCCACCACACCCAGCTCCAACCTTTATGGTTAACCTTTTCTTGTCCCTCCGTTTCAAGTTGATTTCTTGTAAATACCACAGAGAAGGGTATTCATCTTACTTTATTCTTATCTAGCCGGAGAGTCTTTGCCATTTACTAGGAAATGTAAGGCATTTACATTCATTATTAACACCAGTGCCCTGCAGCTCACACCCAAGGGAAAGCGGCTCCTCTTCATTTCTCCTTCCCATCATTCTGTTAGGTTTTCTGCCGTGTGTGTGTGTGTGTGTGTGTGTGTGTGTGAGCGCGCGCATGTGTGTGTTGCTGTGGATGGAACCCAGGGCCTCATGCATACTAGGCAAAGGCCCCTCCACTGAGTTCACCTCACCCCATTTTTACATTTTATTTTGAGGCAAAGTCTCACTAAGTTGCCCAGGCTGGCCTCCAACTTGTGATACTCCTGCCTCAGCCTCTCCAGTAATTGGGAATACAGTCTGTGCCAGTGTTCCCACATTAAATTATTTTGTTCTGAGACAGAGTCTTGCTCTGACACCCAGGGTGAGTTCAAACTCCTGGTCCCAAGCAATTCTCCTGCCTCAGCCTCCCAAGTAGCTGGAGGTATGGGTGTGCACTACTTTTTTCTTTTTGCACCAGGGATTGTACTCGGGATCTTGAGCTGACAAGGCAGGCAGGGGAACCACTCAACTAAATCCCTGGCCCAGGTGTGTACCACTTTGCCGGCTATTATGTGCTACGACTTAAGATTATGTTTTACATTTTGTTCAGTGTGGTGATGGTATTTACAATTATCATTCAGACTTGGTTCTTTCAGAAAGGGTCTCTGCCTGGCCTCCCTGTTACCATTCGTCCCCTGCATTACCGTTTTTGCTGCTTTCTCTCATTATCCACGACGCTGTTTTCCCCACTTGAGACCCTTCCTAAACTTTCTAGCCCCAGCTGCATGTATTTCTTAGGATCACGTGACAGATGGCTGCACTGGGTGGCTGGCTCAACATGTCAGACACAGCTGCGAGTTCAAGGCCAGCCTTAGTCTTTTCTCTTCTGATCATATTTGGCAAAGAGCCTCCTTCCTCATAAAGGCAACTTCACAGATACTGGGCTTAGGACTTGGCCCTGCCTTGGGATCCATGACCCAGCCCAGGACAGCCTGCACGTCCCCTTCGGCACCTCAAGGTGCCTGTCGCAGCTTCCCGGGTGCCCTGTGCTGTCCTGTTCCAGCTCACAGAGGTCAGGTCTCCTCCCAGCTCCTTCCTGAACCAAGTGGGCTGTGTGCTACCCCTGTCCCGGGTCCCAGCAGACTTCTGCCAACTGATGGTGCAGGGTGAAGACAGGGTCCACTCCTGCTCCGGTACTGAGCCCAGGGTTTTTCTGTAGGGTTTTTTCTTTTTTCTTTTTTGGTGCCGGGGATTGAACTTGGGTCCTTGTGCTTGTGAAGCAGGTGGCCAAACCACTGAGCTAAATTCCCGGCCCTCTGTAGGGTTTTTGGTAAGCTGAAGTCCTAGCATCCACTGCTCCTGCAGGGCTCCTTGGGGTTTGCTTCCCAGAATGCCTTGCACCACGAAAACCCTCTTTCTGCTCTCTGTCCCTGAGTGACAGGGAATATTACTTCAGTCTCCTGGAAGACAGGGACACTTGTCCAGTTTTCAGACTGGCACAGATTCTAGGTCTCTGAGTGACCACAAAAGTCAGAGAGGTTCTGAGCATGTTCTTACTTTTGTCCCTGCTTGTATCACCTGTTTTTTTTAACACCCCCACACACCACTGGGGATTGAGCCCAGGGACTTTGCACTGAGCTCCATCCCAGTCCTTTTATTATTTTTTATTTTAAGACAGCATCTCACTAAGTTGCTCAGTTGCCCAGGCTAAGCTTCAACATGTGATCCTCCTGCCTCAGCCTCCCAGAGTGCTGGGATTACAGGAGTGATCTGCAAAGCTGGCTTCCCCTGAGGGGTCTCTACCTCAAAATCATCTTTCTCCAGCTCCCTGATAGGGAGCTAGCAACTATTCCTGCTTCTTTTTTGTTATTATTTATTTATTATTATTTTTTTTTGGTACCAGGGATCGAACTTGGGACCTTGTGCTTTCGAGGCAGGTGCCAGAACCACTGAGCTAAATCCCTGGCCTCCTGCTTCTTGAGCATCAACTTTGCCTCAGGTGCAGGGTGGTTCTGGGGTGAAGCCAGATGCATGGGCTTCCAGGTTTCCTGGTTGTTGATGGCTTCCATCTCCCTACTTCCTGGCTTTAGTGCATGGTCTGTTTGTTATTATGTTTTCTGATGGTTGATTAATAACCCTGCTCAGTCCCTCCTACTCTTAAATTTTAATTTTTTAAAAAATATTTTGAGACAGGCTGTCAATAAATCACTAAATTGTCCAGGCTGGACTTGAACTTGCAATCCTCCTGCCTCAGCCTCCCAGTGTGTTGGGATTACAGGCGTGCACACCCCCACCCCCTACTGGGGACTCCTGTCAGTGGGAAGGAGGACCAGGCCATCAGGGCCTGAGAGGATGTCAGAGCTGTCCTCTTGGCCCCTTGTGCAGTCAGCTTCCCTGTCTCTCGGTGCCAGCCCCAGGTGGCAGCCCCTGGTTTGGCAAAGGCGTTTCCACCAGCGGGGTCACAGCCCAGCCTCCTGGACCGGGACCAAAGCCATTTGCTGGCCTCGGGCTTTGAGTCAGGCCCAGCTGGGTTTCCCCATCCTTTATTTGCCCAATCCTATTAATAATTAACGGTGCAGTAATGAGAATTGCTGTTAATAGAATCCACTGCCATCCCAGCGTCTGCTCCCCACCAAGGGGTTCCCCAGAGGGTTCCCGCCACAGGCGCCTGTGACCCCCACAGCCTCCCCTCCCTGTGGAGCCTGCTCCCCACTCCCGCCCTCGCCTCCTCTCCTACTATCTCCTTCCCCGGGTGCCAGCAATCCCTCTGGAGTGGGGCCTCCATCCCGCCCAGGAGCCTGGGCCTGGTCCCTTGGCTCTGGTCAGAGACAGGGCTGGCAGGAGGCAACATTCCGGAAAAAGACGCCCATCCTCAGCAAAGGGCAGGCCAGGCAAGGGAGTGGGGTGCCTCTGGAGGCCAAGCCCCACACTGCCCAGCCCTCGGAGCCCCCAGAAATCCGGGGAAAATGCAAATCCTGGGGGGTCTGAGGGTGGGTCTGGGGCTCTGCTGTCTCCCTGGCTGCTGGTCAGGGAGCCCCCAGACTTGAGTAGCAGGGTGGAGGGCTTGGGAGTGGGAGAGGGGCCGGATTCTGCTGAATCAGGCTGCAGAGCAGTGTCCTGTGACCCCCACACACCCAGAGACCAGCCAGCCCCCCACATGCTTGGTCAGAGGTAGGGGCTCAAGAGCTCCGAAGGATGGTAGACAGTGATGAATTATAGGTCACCGGAAACTCTCTCTTTGATTTATCTTAATTTTTCAATTATCCATAGTTAACACGTATTACTTTTGGAAATGGATTTAGCTCAGTGGTTCTGGCGCCTGCCCTGCAAGCGCAAGGACTTGAGTTCGATCCCCGGTACCAAAAAAAAAGGAAATAGAGAACAATTTAGTTTATTTTTTGGAAGAACAAATGTTCTCTTCCAGCTGGGCATGGTGGTGCACACCTGTCATCCCAGCACTCAGGAGGCTGAGGCAGGATGATCACCAGGAATTCAAGGCCAGCCTGAAATCCATAGGAGACTCTGTCTAAAAAACAAAAGAAAAGAGGGCTGGGGATTCAGCTCAGTGGCACCACACCTGCCCTGCAAGCGCAAGGTCCCGAGTTCCATCCCTGGTGTGGTGGTGGGGTTTCTCTTCCTTTCCCTGGAGCTCAGTCAGGAGGATCAGTGGATTCTCTTAGCCTTGCTCCAGGGCCTGCATGAGGGCTGGGGGTGGATGGGAAGGGGAGAGAAACCCCTTCCTCCCTGTTTGGCCTCACTGGAATCTAGAAAGATGGGTGGCAAAGAGCTTTGAAAATGAGCTGGAGTTTTCTGCTTCTGGGGGCTGGGAGATGGGGAGCCATTGAGTGTTCTGAGCTGTGGCGGAGGGAGCAGCGCTTCCAGACTGGACCCGTGGTGATTTCCATGGCCAGGTGGCCAAGGCGGCAGGAGGATGACCGCCAGTATTGACTGAACTTCGGGCCAAGATGACCTTCTTCATGAGATCCTTGTGACAGCCTCAGCACATCCGGGCCTTCTCCCCATTCTGCAGATGTGACGGCTTAGGCTCCAGCCGGCCCAGCCAGGATGGGGACCCGGGCCTGTGTGACTCCTCAGCTCCACCAGGAGAAGGGAGAGGAGGAAGGCAAATGAGCCCCCGGGCAACCACCTCAGGCTCTGATGGGGCAGAGAGGAACAAGACAGGCAGCCACCCACTCTCACAGTCTTAACAGTGGTGACAGGTACACGGGTGGTGACAGAGCCCAGGGCCCCCAGGGGGGGCCAGGCCATGAACTGGCGAGGGCAAGGCCCAGAAGCCTGAAAAGTGGCCGAAGTGGGCCAGAGGGGCTGAGCCTGCAGGGCTGGGTGGGTGGCAGCCCAGGGAGGCTCGGCTGAGTTAGGCCACAGAGGGTGTGGGCCACATGATGAAACCCACAGGCCTCTGTGGGGCAAGGGCAGGCGGGGTTTTCTTGGGGACCTGGAAGGGGCTGGGGCTTCGGCACAAGCAGGAGGGAGGCAGGGGAGGTGTCGAGGGACCAGGACCAGGTTTCGGCAGGGACCTCTGGACTGGGTGACCTCCGGCCTCTGTCTCACGTCCACTCTGCTGCCCCATTGGTCCCCTGCACCTGTGCGGCAGGTACGGATAGCAGATGAGGTCCCTGCGGCTGGCAAGGTCACACTAGCTGGTGTTCGGGACAGGCTGGTGTCCTCACACCCGGCTGGTGACAGACACCTTTGTCAACATCGTGTGAGAGCCACATGCCAGGGCTGGCCCCTGCTCATGGTCACCAGAAGGCACTGGCCCTGTTCCCCAACCCCTTGCGAGCGGAGCCCAGGAGGCCCCAGGGGGGAAGACACAGGGGCAGGGGTTCAAGGCTTTGGCCGCCTGACCCGATGCCGGCTGCAGGTGCTCAGGTGGGTACTTGTCTCTCTGAGCCTCAGTATCCTTATCTGTGAAATAGGAAGAACAAGTCACTACTGCGTGAGGATCAAGCAGGGTGACAGCAGGGCCAGCAAGGGCAGGAACTGGCCAGACAGAGCAGGCAGCAGCCACAAGGGGCGCTCAGGGCCTCAGGCGGGAGGAGTGCCGTTGTACTCACTGCCCTGGACTAGGCACCCTGATCCCGAGTGGGCCTTGTGAGATCTGCTGCCCGGGGGATTCAGGGGCCCTCGCTGTGCTGCCTGCAGGATCCTGAGATTAGGGGACCCAGCCCCCTTACTTCCGCTGAGGCCCTGGGAGGTGGAGGCCTTGCCGGTGGTCCGCACAGCTGGGTTTGAAAGTGGACCCCCACCCGCTCGGTTTCCCACCCGACACAGGGTCCCCAGGCCTGGCCTGGTCTTTTTGGAGCCTCAGTGCCCGGAGCTCCTGAGCTCCACTCGCTGCCGACAGTGACAGCACAGCCGATCGAGGGTCCCACCCTTCCCTGTCCCCCCAACCCCACACAGATGCCACCAGCTGGGTACATGTGCCAGGAAAGCCAGCCATCTGCCAACCCCGAGGGCCTGTGGCAGCCCAGAGCGGCCCTGGAGAGCTCTGCACTCCGAACTGGCTTGGGGAGGTGCAGCCCAGACAGATCAGGGCTGGGAGCTTCAAACAGTGGAGTGAGAGCAGCCAGAGTCCGGCCTGAAGGCACCTGCGACTCCTGAATCCTTCCTGGATACCACGCTGCGGGGACAGGGCAGGGCACAGAGCGGCTGGACAGACCGTCGCATGGCACGAAGCACTTGGCAAGGAGCTGGGGAGCAAGGAGGGCACCCCAAGGAGCCTTTCTGTTGAGGGACCTGAGGCCCATGTTCGGCGCGCCTGTCCCGAGGCCTCTCTGCCACACCTTCAGGCCCAGAAGTGGCTGTGGGGCTGGGGCTGGCATCTCTCTCCAGGCCCCAGGCAAACAGTGCTTCTGTCCACCGGGGACTCAGTTTCCCCAGCCCTGGCGGGAGGAGAAGGGAGCCCAGGCTGCGGGCGACACCTGTGCGACGCTCAGGAGCCGGTGACACGGCTGCCTCTCCTGTCCACCCCTCTCGGGCCTCCGGGGCCCATTTGTGAAGTGAAGGATGGGCCAGGGAAACCCCGTAGGCCAGGCGGAGGCGGCTCGGTCCTCCCCGTCACCTGGCCGCGCCTGCAGCCCGGGAGGGGCGGGGCATGTTGCCATGGAAACGCCCCCTCCTTGGGCGAGATGGCTGGGAGGGGACAGAGAGGAGACAAGATGAGGCCGGGGTGCCCCGATCCTGCTAAGGAGAGGGACAGAGCCGCACACGGACGAAAATGCACCCACCCGACCCCGCAGTGACAAAGGCCTCGAGAGCCAGACCCGGAGAGTGAGAAGCCCACAGCCCCCAGGGAAGGGGAGGCGACTGCGCAGGGGTGGGGGGCCAGCACGAGGAGCGGGTGGGGAGCCCCAAGGCGCCCAGGAGCGGAGCCGAAGTTGGGGCCAGGCCAGAGAGGGCAACTGTGAAAATACAAATTCATCCCGGGGGAGTTTCTAAACTCTTCCTGTATTTCTCCAGAGAGTGAGTCATCGCTGTACCTCCCGCTTCTCCATCTGCTTGGGGAGATGGGGGCTCCTGGCTGAGCACCCCAACATCGTCCTCCCCTCCCCCTTACTCTCCCCCCGGCCCAGCAGGCTTTACCTGCCTCCATCCTGGGGTGACTGTGACTGGCAGCCACACTCTGGGTTCCTCCTACGAAGACTCCATCCGCAAGGCTAGGATTAAAAAAACTCCGCTGTCGTCGCGGCAGTCTGGCACCCCCAACCGGGACCTGGGGAATCTTCCTCCGAGGACGAGGAGCCAGGCTGGGGGAAGGGCACAGGCCGGGCATGGGGGGAGCTGCAGGCCCAGGACGGCTGGCTGGAGCCTGAGGCCACGTCTGCTTTCCCTGGGGCACTGAGCCTCAGTTTCCCCCTCTGTGGGGTAGGGGGCGGGGCCAACCTCCTACCTCTGGAGGGCCTCTCTGGAGTCTGGGCAGTTTCAAGGCCCCCCGGCCAGTGCTCTTCTCAGGTTCGAGGAAGAACTGAGGCCCACATTGGAAAGATAGGGTGCGCCCAGCTGTGATCCCAGAGGCAGGAGGATCACAAGTTCAAACCCAGCCTGAGGCAATTTAGCAGCTCAGTGAGACTTGTCCCCTGCTCTCTGTGCTACTGTGGGTGATTCCAACTCCCCACCCCTCTGTCCTGCAGGAGAAGCTGTGCCCCGGGGTGCACAGAGGGCTCCCCAGCCACTGGACAAAGCCTGAGCTTCTTGGGACCTGGGGGGGGGCACCCCAGCTGCAGGTGGAGGCCAGCTGGGCCTCAGAAGCCTCTTCTTATCACCCCAGGGGGCAGGCAAACAAAAATGGGTGCCAAGCAGGAGAATCCGCATAACAAGCCCACTGGGGCTGAGGGGAGTAGGGCTCAGAGAAGGCAGTACCTTGCCCGGGTCTCACAGCCAGCAGGGCTCCCCAGGGCTCCTGGATTTAACACCAACACCAACACATACGGAGGGAGCTCTGGTGCTGACCCCTCCACGAGGCCACCTGTCACCCCCGTGCTGCTCTTGCCTCCTTCCTGCTGTGGTTCAGGGTCCACCCCTCCCCGAGGGTCCCTTTGGGGACAGCAGAGGCTCAGAGATGGGGTTGCTGGGGGCGACCCGGAGGCACTGTGGGCACTTCCTGTCTGCAGAGGCCCCGTCACTGCCACTCGCTGACGGACACTGTTCCCAGAAGGTCACTCACAGCAGCGCTGCTGGGCCCCCCGAGCCCACTTTCCTTACGACTTTCTCCCCACAACGTGGCTGGATGCCACTGGGTTCTGGGGTCACCCCTGCCCCACAAACCCCGTCCCATTCTGCCCAAGGTGGAGCCCCAGCACCCCCCAGAGCCACTCCAGCTGAGGTACACTGTCGACCTCCTGACCTTCGCGACTGGAGCTGTCAGAGTTGCTTCCATTTATTTACAAAAAGGGTGCACATTGTTTTTCAGAAATGAGATTGACAGGAACCAAACAAATAAAAGAATGCTGGGCATGGTGGTGCACACCTGTCATCCCAGCACTTGGGAAGCTGAGGCAGGAGGATCTCCACAAGTTTGAGTTCGAGGCCGGTCTGATCTACATAGTGAGACCCTGTCTCAAAAACCCTAACAAGAAAGGAAATCCAAAGTGGCAAGATAAAATTGTAAATACCAGGATGTTCTTGCAGACAGGAGGTGGACAGAAAGTCCATCCCCAGCTCCCCTTAGTAGCTGCTCGGCCCTGGGGCCCCCGCTCCCTGGCATCACAGCTCCATGTTTGGCCATTTATACCCTGGATGTCTTTGCACCATGCCAAGGAAGATGCACAGGGCCATTCTGTGGAGGAATCCCCAGAGCATCCCCAGAGGAGGTGGCAGAAATGCAATTGGAAATGGCTCCTGCCACCCTGAGGGTCTAGGCCCCCGGGGCTCCCATGGAGGGCAAGAGCCCAGAGGGGTCACCTGGACTCTTGGCAGAGTTTGCTGGTTGCAGGGCACACTCTTGTGGTGGTGAGGCACTTCCACCTGGGCTCATTTGTTACTGCAGCACAGCTGGGCCTTGCTGACTGATACAGGTGCACCCTGCCCAGGGGAGGCCTAGCCCAGGTCCCTGTGTGCATGGTGAGACATGGATTTTTCTCCTCTGAGCTCACGAGGAGGAAACAAGTTTAGAGGATCTGGGACTCTTACCCAGGAACACCAGCACCCATGAGTCCTAATCATCCCCATGCTAGTCGCCATCCAGGGTTTTCATTTGCTACAGAAACAACTTTTAAAAGGCCAAAAAAAGAGAGACAGAAGGGCCAGGGATTTAGCTCAGTGGTTTCGCCGCCTGCTGCCCAAGCACAAGGACCTGAGTTTGATCCTCGGTACCAAAAAAACCCAACAAAAACAAAAAAGAGAGACAGAGAGTAGAGAGAGCAGGGTGGGAGGAAGAAAACAAAGAAAGGAAAGAAAGAAAGAGGGAAAGAAAAAGAAAGAAGGAAAGAAAGAAAAGAAAGAAAGACTGCTAGCCAGGTATGGTGATGTAACCTGTAATCTCAGCACTCAGGAGGCTGAGGCAGGAGAATCATTCCCAGTCTGAGACCAGCCTGGGCTACAAAGTGAGTTCAAGGCCAGCCTGAACTACAAAGCAAGACCTTATCTCAACCAAAAAGTAATAATAAAAGAATGCCTGCCATCAACAACTTGAGAGAACTGGAATAAAGGATTTTTTAATTGTAGAAAAATACACATAACATAAAATTTACCAACTTTTTGTGTGTGTGGTGCTGGGGATTGAACCCAGGGGCTTCGGACTGAGCTACATCCCTAACTCTTTATTTTTTGTTTTGAGATAGAGTCTCACCAAGTTGATAAGTTGCCCAGGCTGGACCCGGACTTGAGATCCTCCTGGCTCAGCCTCCCACAGATGAGATTACAGGCAAGAGCCACCATGCTTGGCAATCTGAACCATTTCGGGAGTGGGGGGTGGGTGGAAAAGGGGTCTTCCTTTGTAACTCAGACTGGCACCGAACTCACCTAGTAGCTCAGGCTGGCCTCAACTCGTGGAGATCCTCCTGCCTCAGCCTCCCTGGTGCTGGGATGATGGCAATGGCAGAGGCCACCACCTGTTTTCCTAGTGGTTTGATTTGCATTTTCCCAGGGCTCAGCGAAGGAATGTAGGTGTTCAAATTCCCTGGGCCTGCACAATCCCAGGACCTCGTCCTATAGGAGGAGGCAGGGGTCCGGCGCTCCTGTAGGTGTTGGAACTGCTATGTCTCAAAGTCCGTGACTCCCAGGTAAGTGGGGCTGTGACCTGCAGCCCACTGAGCAGGCGGGGCCCCCATCCAGGTACCATCCTGCCTGGGCCAACCTCTGCTGATGACATTCGGCGTTCACCCTACTCCACTCCCAGGTCGGCCCTCCTGGCCCTCCAACCCCCACCACTACCATCAGCCACAGGACCCTTATACCTGCTGCTGTCCTTGCCTGAACTCTGTTCCCAAGACAAAAGAGCCCTGAGGTGGGCTGGAGAGTGGGAAGGTGGGTGTGTAGGGTACGGGACAGGGACCAGGCAGGTGGTGAGGATCTAGGCACCTCCCGATGGGGACAGTGACAGGGAGGACAGCTGGGGACACTTCCAGGGACCTGGCTCCTAGGACTCGAGCTCCGTGAAGCTCTTGAGAGAGGAAGAATGGGGGAGAGAGGAGGGAGGCGAGACCGCAGAGACAAGCACAGCGACTTCCCGAGGCCACTGTGCCCCGCCGTGCCCAGGCCTATGCCATGGGGGAGGCCGAGGCAGGACGGTCACATGTCCGTGCCTAGCCTGGGGAACTTAGGGAGACCCTGTCTCAAAAGAAATAAATGAAAGGGCTGGGGCGTAGCTCAGGACTGGGGATGCACATGCACACGCACTCTGTGGCTGCGCCCACACGCGGAGGACTGCGGGCGGGGTCAAGGACAGGACTGGAGCCCAGCATCCACGGGGAGCCTCTCTCCCCAGCCTCAGTTTCCCCATCCACAACCCTGGAAAGAGGTGGTGGGCTGGCCATGGGGAGCCCCCCCCCCCCCGCCTGCTCATGGGGCAACTGTAGGCCCTGCTCCCGGAGCCCACGGTTTTCCAAGTATTTAAGTCCCCTCGGAGGTTCCCAGGCTCGGCTCCACCTGGCCGAGCCGCCCCGCCTGGCGCTGCGCGGGGCCACATTTGCATACATATTAACCAGAGCAGCGAAAAACGCAGACGTGCGAACCATGTGGACGGCTCCACGCGCACAGCCTGCCAGGAAATCAATCATCTGGCTTCTTACAGGAAACCCGCGGGGAGGAGGAGGCGATGCGGCCCGCCCGGGGCTCCGAGAGGCGGGAGCCGCGGGTGTCGGTCCGGCCGGCAGAGGGGAGCGGCCCTGGGCCAGGCTGGGACGGGACTCGCCAGTCGGGCTCCGTTTCCCGCTGTGTGACCCGCCCAGCGCACTGCCTCCGCACCCGGAAGGGGTGGGGCCTCCCTGCAGGGCCGCAGGGCTGCTTCCAAGGCCCTGGGCTCTTGGCCCGGCCCGCAGTGAGCACCCTGGGGCCCCCTGAGGTGTCCCGTTCACCCTCCACCTCCACCTCCTCACCTGTAACCTGAGGGGTTTTCATTGTTTGGTTTTTTGAGACAGGGGCTCACTGCATAGTTCAGGCTGGCCTCGAACTCCTAGCGATGCTCCTGCCTCAGCCTCCCCCACCCCAGTGCTGAGATTATGCCTGGCTCTCTTTCTTTTTCTCTTTCTTTCTTCCTTTCCTTTCCTTCTTTCTTTTTAGATAGAAGTGACAAACATTCCTTTTATTGTTCCTAGGGTGCCTGGCTCATTTTCATGGGAACCTCTAGCTCTGTTGGGGAGGGGCTGTGACCCCAAGAACTCGTGGGTCATGCCCCAGGGCTCCCTGCTAATCTAGCACGGGGCCTCCTGACAGACAGGCCAGGCTGGGGTGGGGGGCACCTGAGCAACCACCCCTGCCGGCTGTGAAGTCTGCTGACCAGTTGAGGAAACTGAGGCCCAGGGAGAGGTGCCAAGGCCGAAGCTGGAAGTGAGGGGAGCCAGGATGGGGACTTGCTGTGACTGAAGATGCCCCCCAAGCCCAGCCCCATCGGCTGCAATGTGGGGAAGGGGCACTGCTGGCCAGCCCCGTGTGTGGCCCCCAGGAAGGGCCTGCTGGGAAGGGGCTGGAGGAGCCAGGACTCTGAGTGAAGGCAGCACAGCCCAGCCCTCATTCGCTTCTTGCATGCTGGCATGAGGCACAGGGGTGACCAGTGAGCGTCCCCGGGCCTCGGGCAGTGCCGTGCTGGTCACTGGTGGGGAAGGGACACCTCACCCCTGAAGCCACCAAGCTCCCTGAGGACCTGGGCTTGGAGGAAAAGGCCAGGCTGGGTGTGGGTGCTCTTCGTCCTCAGAGTGTCCCAGCAGGGGGACAGGGCCACCTCCACAAGGCCTGTGGGTCGCAGCTGGGTGCTGTGGGAACAGAAAGGCCACTGGCACTGTGTCTGGTTGTGTGACCCTGGGCCAGGCCCTGCCCTCTCTGGGCCGGGTGGCTGAGCTGCCCCTGCCTCTCTGACCCCCATCTCTCTCCCGCTCCTCTCTCAATGGCAGTGGCAGTGGTGTGGGTGGAAAGGAGTTACAGGAACCCGCTGGCGCAGTCACCCGGTGGCCCTCACCTCCAGCCACCGGCTCCAGCTCCAGCTCCGCATTGCAAACATTCCTGCCAGCCTGGGCTGCAGCCCGGAAGGGGAACGGCCTGGCCTGCTGCCTGCCTCAGACAGCAGTTTAACCCCTTCACGGCTGGCAGGCAGGGCTGGGACAGGGAGGCTGGGGAGGGTGGCTATTAGAGCCCCCGATTTCCATGCTGGATCCACAGGCGGACAGCCAGGTGGCCCCGGGCTGGGGCCTCCCTGTTCGGAAAAGCAGCCAAGCCTCAGGGCTGCCTGGAAGCAGGGCATGGGGCAGCCTCGCAGAGGAGGAACAGCTCAGCCCAGAGGAGGAACAGCTCGGAGTGCTGCCTGGAGGGTGGGGAGTGTGGGACCTCGTGGCGTGGCCACCCCTGGCCTGGGCCCTCATCATGGGATGGCAGGGAAGAGCTGGTGAGGGGTTTGTGCTTAGCACCGAGAGAGTTCCTCAAGTGAAGAACGACCCGGGGGGGGGAGAGAGAGAGAGCGCGTGCTCATTGTCCTGTACACCTCAGATCCACTCCACACAGCCACCAGAACACCTGAGCCACACCGAAGTGCCACCAATAGGACACCTTTCAAATGGCACCCTGCTGGCCGGGGGAGGCAGCAAGCCCAGGTTGGCTGGGGCTCCCAGGAGCAGTCGCGGACTCCCGCACACAGCTGGCGCTCAATACATGCATCTGTTCGACAGAGCGTTGGCGCTGGGAGGAGCCGAGAGACCATGGAGGCCCACAGCGCCCTGACTGGTGAGGAAACTGAGGTGCAGTGGAGGCCTGGGTGGCAGGGCTGGTTGTCCTGGGTACCAGGGAGCTTTGGGCAGCCAAGGGGCCACAGTCAGAGACCAGAAGCCAGCAGGGCTGCCAGCCCTTGACTTTGGTACCCAGCAAGGCTGCCCGGGTCTCATGGGGCTTTGGGTCTCATCGGGAGGCAGAGGCTGTGAGAAAGAAGTGAGAACCATTTGTGAATACAGTCGGGAAACCCACCTGTGAAACATCAGGCCCTCTGCCCCTCAAAGCTGGGAGGAGGGCAGGGGCGAGGCTCAGGGGCGAGCACTTGCCTGGATGCAGGTGGCCCTGGGTTCATCCCGGCCCCCAAAGGAAAAGCCCGCAGAGAAAGGAAGCTGGTGGACACTTCCTCTTCCTCCTCCCCCTTCTCTTCCCTTTCTCTTCCCACTCCAGCATTACCCAGGATGCGGCCAGCTCTCCTGCCTGAGGCCGCAGGCTGGACCAACCTGTGATGCCAGGTATGGGGAAGCTGAGGCCCAGGGAGGCGGAGACAGTGGCCCAGCACCACAGAGCTCTGAGCAACCCGGCTGACTGCTCCCTCACGGCCTGCCCCTGTCCCCTTTCCGCCGCTGCCGCCACTGCCTCCCCAGTGCCCCAGTGTCATCCAGGCCCCAGCCCGGCTGCAGCCCCAGCCCCAGCCCCAGCCCCAGGCCTGTGTTGTGCCTGCTCTGGTCTGTCTGCGTGGACAGCAGGCTTGGCTGGAGTTCTCCTAAGTGCCGCTGAGCTGAGCCGAGCGTGTTGAGACTTCCCGGGGAGAACCACGCCCAGGATGCCCCCGGTGCAGAAAATCCTGCCTGGGCAGGACAGGAAGGGGCCAGGCAGGCTCTGTTCTGCACATGCCCCAGCAGGACAGATGATGGGAGGAGGGCTGGGCTCCTTCCAGCCTCCTGGGTGACCCCTGTGCAGCCAAGGGATTTTTTGGTTGCTGTTTTTTAACTTTTATACAGGCTGGCCTCGAACT